CAACTTTTTTTAACAAGAAGCCAAAAACAGAAGAATAGTTTAGCATATATGTAATAGCGTATGTGCAGCTTCAGATGTATTATTAATGTTTTTTTCTGTTTTAATTGATTTCTTTATTCTGTACAACTAAAATAAGTATTGAGAATGTTTAAATATAAAGTTAGTTTACTTCAGTGACTATTTGTTATTTTTTATATTGTTTTTTATCATGTTTGTAAATTTCCAGTCTTGCTTTGGAGATTAAATAAAAGAGGTTGGGAAAAAAAATCTAGCTGTTTTTATAGTAAATTAAGGTAAAGGAAACTTGTGAAATTTATATCTTTTTAGTAGGATTCTGCTTTTAAATTTCTATGACTTATGTTTTTTAATTTTTTGGTAACGATATCGAGTCAAACTGTATTCAGGGGTGCCACAATAGCAACTGTTACAATTGTAAATGGTACTAAGTTTTTTTTTTTTTTTTTAAGTCTTAATTGGTCCTCCTAGGTCCTCTTTTCCCTTTTTTCTTGTCTAAAATATGTTGGGAGCCCTGGGCCAGGGACTGTAGAATTACGATGTATATAGAGATGAGAATTGTCATAATCACGAACTTTAATTATAACAAATTATTTTATTTCAGCATTTAAGAAGGAGCACTTCTCCATGTTGAACAAGATACTCGTCATGCAACACAACATGGAGGAGATGTTGGTGGATCTCAAAAGATCCACCGGTGCTCCTTCAAGAGAGCCACTGCCGGAGGGAGCACCTCAGCTACCCTTAAAAGCTGAGGTTGAGGTACAGCAGCTGGAGCAGTGGCTTTTGGATAAAGCAAATAAGTGTTCCCTTGTAAGTAATTGATTTACCTTACACTCTCACTTGTAATTATTAGAGATATTTGTCTTTATTTTCTACTGACTTAATCTGCGAATTGAAATCCATGTTTTTTTTAAATATTCGTTGATTTTATTAAAGCTGAACATTAACATCATGGTAGCAAATGCTTCAATTGATGACTTTTGTAGATTTATGGAGAAAGGGAACGACTGAACTATTACTGAAACATTAAAAGGAAACAATATTTTTCTAACCTACTGGGTGAAAGATATGGGCAGGGTTGCCACAGGCGACTAAAATGCAACTATTTTCAGCATGAGGCGACTGTGGCAACTTATTTTGCCTGAAAAGGCTAAAAAAGCAACTACTTTCAGGAAAAGGAGACTTTTCTGTACTCCAAGCAATGTTTTTTTTTAGCATAAATTGGGTTGAAAACTTGCGACCCGCGAAATCCTCTGAACACACTGAATTTCTTATCTTAAAAAAAAACTGTAAAATAAAAATAATAATATATATTTGCTAAATCAATTATTCATAAAAGGGAAAAGTTCTTAGAATAGGTGTGTTTTTTTTAAATGAAAAAGTGATTTTGAATGAATTCTAGCAATTAAAAGTATTTAATTTTCTGAAAATATACAAATTTTTTTTTAATATCAAAATTTAGTGCTAGTAGTATCATATTTGCCACCAACTTGACTAAATGGATCATGGTATATGACGATTAAGTCATTTAATAAAATTTAAGTCTTATATTTGTTCTTATTTAAGCAACTATTTTCATAGTTTTCGGCAATTAGTTTCGTGCTCTGGGCTACTAAAAGCAACTATTTTGTGGCAACCCTGTATGGGATAATTTTATATCTTTTTGGTTTTCTTCCGAATTGAAATTTTGAATTTGTAAAGGGGTGCGTTTTGAAATATCCAAAAGCTAATCTAGTTTTTACAGCAAAAATTTTGTGTGCCTTACTACTGCCTAAATTTTGCTTTGTATATTTCATAGTCTTATCTATAGAAAGAGCTCACCTCACTCTCCGTCTGTAGCAGCGACTGTTATGAGATTTAACTATTTCTTCCATAACAGCAGTTGGCCTTAGACTTTGTGGCGAGAGGAATTCTTTCTAAAGACTAATTTATTTAAATATTGCAATACTATTTTGTAATAATTTTTTTGTCCAATTTTTTCTTTCAGATAAATTATTTGGCCCTTGTAGGAGGGAAGAATGTTGAAAAAGCTACCAGAAACATAATGGGGCAATTTTTTTCAAAAGATGTTGCCCCATCTTTCAATTGGTTGGACGAGGAGACAAGATGGCCTTTTCCACCCTCGCGGTTAAGGATGTTGTTGTTAGTAAGTTGCACTTATATTGTTTGTTAACTCAATATTATAGCTTTAACAGTGGTCTTAGGTAGGGTAGAATTTTGTTTTTAATTTAGTCTGTAAAAGATGGATTTTTGATAATTTATTTCATCTAGATAGACAAACAGATTTTGATAAACCACCTCAATTTATGGAGACTTATATTTATCTCTTTAATTCTAATATTTTTTGTATAAATTCTAATTTTTTTAAGCAGTCTCTGCTACTTAAAAATAATATTTATCCTCAAGACATATTCTCAAATGTTATGGGGTATATATATGAGTGTGTGTATGTGTATATAGCAGTGCAGTATCCTCACTACTGAGTCAAACTCCCAAACAACAACTGCCCCCTGACGCAGTTGTAAAATAAGACTATGATACTTCAACTTCTACTAACCGAACTTTGAACTAAAGTGAACTGTAGTTTTGTTAAGATATAAACATTCAAGCACAAGTTGGTTCACGAGATGTTGTTCATCTGTTAAACATATTTTTCTCACTCGCAATCGTCGGCGAGATATGCTTTTTTATTTTATGTAACTTTTAATTATTTAATTTCAATTACATTAAAATGTAATATTTTGGATTAATTACTATTTCATGTCTACTGCATAAAAGACAGGATTGAACTTCGTGATCGGGTCTGAACCTGTAGTGGTGACCCTTGTAAATATTATTTTAAGCATGCAGTAGCGACAGAGGATCTCGTTATATCCTTGCTTTAATTGAAATCTTTCACGCTTAGAAACTTTCAATGAACTGACACGGTGCTAAAGCTACCAAATAAATCTTCATTTCGTGCACGAATGGATAATTTCGCATGCCAGATATTCTCCGTCTGATGATTGGTTAAACTCCATCGCCAAAAGCCTCTTTAATAGATTGGATTGGATTGAATGTAGGGTTTAGTGGCACAAAGTCCAAAAGAGGACATGCTGCGCCAAACAATACGGTAAAAACAGTTCATAAGACATGATGCGTGCAACACTTAGTTATTCGTATAATTATAACTGATAAAATTNGTAATATTTTGGATCAACTATTATTTCATTTCTGCTGCATTAAAGACAGGATTGGACTTCGTGTTCGGGTCTGAACCTGTAGTGGTGACCCTTGAAAAAAAAATTTTAAGCATGCAGTAGCGACAGAGGATCTCGTTACATCCTTTATTTAATTGAAATCTTTCACGTGTAGAAACTTTCAATGAACTGACACGGTTCTTAAACTACCAAATAAATCTTCATTTCGTGCACGAATGGATAATTTAGCATGCCTGATATTCTCCGCCTGATGATTGGTTGATCCATCGCCAAAAGCCTCTCCAATACAAGGTAAGACCTTATATTTGTCCATTTTCTTATCAGTTATTTGAGCTTTACCATGCCGAACAACGATACTCAACAAACGCAGGTTAACAGAGTAGGGTTAAAATTACCTCCCTTTTGGGATAAACACGCCGTACTTTGGTTCGCTAATATAGAAGCACAGTTCATGGTATCCGGCATAACTCGGGATGATACGAAGTTTTATTGCGTGGTATCGGCCCTTGCCTGAGTTTTGTTTTTAATTTAGTCTGTAAAAGTTGGATTTGTGATAATTCATTTCATCTCGATAGACAAACAGATTTTGATAAATCACCTCAATTTATGGAGACTTATATTTATCTCTTTAATTCTAATATTTTTTGTATAAATTCTAATTGTTCCAGTTCTCTGCTACTTAAAAATAATATTTTTCCTCAAGACATATTCTCAAATGTTATGGGGTATATATATGAGTGTGTGCATGTGTATATAGCAGTTTTAATGATAAAACCTTAAATGTGTTGTTCTCTAACTACAAAAAATTTTAAGACAACAAACGGTATATTAATTACGACAAAGAATGCTAAAACATTCTATAATTCTGCTATTGCTGAAGCAATATTAAGATTTCACTTACCCATTTTCAAGACAAGTGAGAATCCTTTAATAATGAAAAATAACGCATCCCAATCAATGTTCCTAGCTGTGAAAAATCTATTGGTAGAGACTTTATTCAATTCTGGATCAGAAATTGAGAATGCAGTTTTTTTTTTAAAAATTATGTAAATTTATGAAACTAGAAATTGTTAGTCAAAATATTCCACAGATAGTGTATAGCAAAAACTAATTAAAATTTTATTGCTGCAAAATTATATTGGTTTTGAAACTGCATTAAAAATAGTGCTTAAGCATTATTTAAGTTTTAAAATATATTTTGAATAATTTGAATGTTATAAAAAGTAGATATTCCCATATGTCTGTATAGGAGAGGAATGTAGGCTCCAGACAGAGAGTTGGTATTCCTACCAAATGACCTATTATAATGTTGTGATTGTGAAGTGGTAGTGGATACACATTAGTCAAATTTTAATAAAGTAATATTTTAATGGCCTAATTTAAGGAAAAATTATTAAAAAAATCTCTTATATTATTAATTACAGTGTATCATTCCAATCAAATTCATATTAAATGTAATGGTTGATTTTATTATATTTCAAAATTTTTGCTTTTCATGTTCTACAATTATAAATTCTTTTCATGTTCTACAATACAATTATAAATTTTTCTTCCAGATGCTGCTCTCAAAGGAGCAGGTCAACACCGTCAGCATGGTGGAGGAGGCCATTAAAATGTGGCTGAAGGCAGCGAAATGCTGACAAAAAAATTAATCTGTTTAAAGAAATAAATTTTATTTATTTATTATTTTTATTCTGTATTTATCTGTATAAAAAAATAAATTTCTGTATAAAAAATAATTGAGTGTTCACTTCTTTTACTAATTCTAAAACTTTGTTTTGAAATTAAGTTAATCTAATTCTAATGGTATGTCTAATTATTAGTTTATATTTTAGAACATTAGTATTAAGTAAATCTTACACTGAAAATCTATAATCTATCACTGACCAAAGACTTCAATAAAAAAATTATTATAGTATATGAAAGCTGAACATGGGTGAATGGTGATATATTCCTTTCTACAGAATCTAGTCCTAATTCCATTAAGAACCATGTCGAAGAGAATGCATTCTATTAGTTGAATATTTTTAATTGTGAATGAAGAATATTAAATTATTCCACTCCAAAAAATTAGAATTGATGCAATGAAAATAAAGAATCTTGTAAAGAAATCAACTTTTGCTAGTTAACTATGCAATGACAGAGTGAAAAAAAGACTTTAATTCTTTGATGTATCTTAGATATAAAATTGAACGAAATGTAGAGACTGAAAGCATTAAGTATGGTTTGTGTCAGCGGCAGTAAGTTCAATATATATAATGTGATTTATAATGGAAGAATACATAGGCATACATACAGTAATGAAATGGTTGTACAAAGGAAATGTTATAAATTTGGGTGAAATGGCGCTAAATTTACGTTAAGAATCGGTTACAATTTTCCTTATAATAAAAAGCATTAAAAATGCGTAAATATTCATAGTAAGGAAAACTAAATTTATATAGCGAAAGATTGTAGTTAAATAATTATATAACGGAAAATTGTAACGTAAATAGTAATTTACCTTCAGAATCGGTTACGAAGTTCCCTATAATAAAAATAAGCGTTAAAAATACGTGAATATTCAGGGTAAAAGAAACTAAATATATACGACCGAAAATGAACGTTAATATTTTGGTTCAAATAAAGTAAAATTTACGTCAAAAGTCTGCTACGAAATTCCCTATAGTAAAAATAAGCGTTAAAAATACGAGAATACTCAGGGTAAAAAGAACGAATATATATAACCAAAAATAAACGATAATATTTTGGTAAAAATAACCTGAAAAATTGGTTATGGAATTCACCTTAGTCAAAAATCTGGCAAATTATGGTCATTTTTATGTTAAAAACAACCCAAATATAAACGCTTTTTTACCTAATTTGAGACTACCACTCGAAACTGAAATAAAACGTTTTTTTTGCTCTAAACCTTGTGACATTTTAACGTTATTTTCACGTAATTAATACTTATCTCTGCTGCATGGGATTATGACCATCCTCCATCTATAACAATGGGCTTGCCCAGGTTTTTATGGTTTCTAGCCCAGGAACAATGTTTTCATAGGGCACATTAAGACCCATAATCCTCATAGAACAATCCCTGACGTCTGTAAGCTACTTGATCACATAGTTGCAGATTAGGTTCACCCATTCATGGCAACAGTTTTTCCTGCGGGGGGTGGTGTTTACCAACAGGATAATGCACCATGTCATAAGGGTCGAATCGTGGAGGAACATTCCAGTGACTTTCAAGTCATGTCTCGGCCCCCAAATTTGTGCTGCCACGCTACCCCCTCGCAATGTGAGGGAATTGCAGCACCAGTTGGTGAGCGCTTGGTACCAGATACCTCAGACTACCGTGTTCAGCATTTTGTGGAATCAATGCCACGGCGGGTGCTAGCAGTTTTGAGGGCTAAAGGTGGTCCTANCAGATGAGTCACCTATAAAAGTCTCTGAAAAACCTTCTACATTAGCAGAAAAGCAAACTGCTTCTACCTCTGCATGTGCAGTTCTCGAGGAAATTTCTTCAACTGTAAATGAGGAAAACAAAAGTCAACCTTCCAGCAACTTTGAAGTTCACCACAAAAGGACAAGCCCACAAACATCAGAAAATAAAAAAAAGCAGCAGAAATTAGATAATTTTTTTTAAAGAATTAATTCAGGTAATTTAAAATATTTACATAAAATGCAGTAGTTTATATGTTTGAAAATTTATGGTTATTAATTTTGCAAAAAAAGTAATTCATTGAACTTTTATAATTAGGTCATTCAATACTTCATAATTGTAATTTTTCATTTCTCCCCCCCCCCTTCTCGAAACTCCAAAATGTCGGTAGTAAGTCCGTAAAAGTTTCAGGGGATTTTTTGGGGTCCTACAAACACCCCTGTACAATTATACATTTTCCTTCCAGATGCTGCTCTGCATTATAGCTCAAAGGAGCAGGTCAACACCGTCAGCATGGTGGAGGAGGCCATTAAAATGTGGCTGAAGTCAGCGAAATGCCGACAAAAAAATTAATCTGTTTAAAGAAATAAATTTTATTTTTTTTATTTATTTATTATTTTTATTCTGTATTTATCTGTATAAAAAATAATTGAGTGTTCACTTCTTTTACTAATTCAAAAACTTTGTTTTGAAATTAAGTTAATCTAATTCTAATGGTATGTCTAATTATTAGTTTATATTTTAGAACATTAGTATTAAGTAAATCTTACACTGAAAATCTATAATCTATCACTGACTAAAGACTTCAATGAAAAAATTATTATAGTATCTGAAAGCTGAACATGGGTGAATGGTGATATATTCCTTTCTACAGAATCTAGTCCTAATTCCATTAAGAACTATATCGAAGAGAATGCATTCTATTAGTTGAATATTTTAAATTGTGAATGAAGAATATTAAATTATTCCACTCCAAAAAATTAGAATTGATGCAATGAAAATAAAGAATCTTGTAAAGAAATCAACTTTTGCTAGTTAACTATGCAATGACAGAGCGAAAAAAAGACTAATTCTCTGATGTATCTTAGATATAAAATTGAACGAAATGTAGAAACTGAAAGCATTAAGTTCAATATATATAATGTGATTTATAATGGAAGAATACATAGGCATACATACAGTAATGAAATGGTTGTACAAAGGAAATGTTATAAATTTGGGTGAAATGGCGCTAAATTTACGTTAAGAATCGGTTACAATATTCCTTATAATAAAAAGCATTAAAAATGCGTAAACATTCATAGTAAGGAAAACTAAATTTATATAGCGAAAGATTGTAGTTAAATAATTATATAACGGAAAATTGTAACGTAAATAGTAATTTACCTTAAAAATCGGTTACGAAGTTCCCTACAATAAAAATAAGCGTTAAAAATACGTGAATATTCTGGGTAAAAGAAACTAAATATATACGACCGAAAATGAACGTTAATATTTTGGTTCAAATAAAGTAAAATTTACGTCATAAGTCTGCTACGAAATTCCCTATAGTAAAAATAAGCGTTAAAAATACGTGAATACTCAGGGTAAAAAGAACGAATATATATAACCGAAAATAAACGATAATATTTTGGTAAAAATAACGTGAAAAATTGGTTACGAAATTCTCCTTAGTAAAAAATCTGGCAAATTATGGTCATTTTTACGTTAAAAACAACCCAAATATAAACGCTTTTTTACCTAATTCGAGACTACCACTCGAAACGGAAATAAAACGTTTTTTTTTTGCTCTAAACTTTGACATTTTAACGTTATTTTCACGTAATTAATACTTATCTCTGCTGCATGGGATTATGACCACCCTCCATCTATAACAATGGACTTGCCCAGGTTTTCATGTTTTCTAGCCCAGGAACAATGTTTTCATGGGGCACATTAAGACCCATAATCCTCATAGAACAATCCCTGACGTCTGTAAGCTACTTGAACACATAGTTGCAGACTAGGTTCACCCATTCATGGCAACAGTTTTTCCTGCGGGGGGTGGTGTTTACCAACAGGATAATGCACCATGTCATATAGGTCGAATAGTGGAGGAACATTCCAGTGACTTTCAAGTCATGTCTCGGCCCCCAAATTTGTGTTGCCACGCTACCCCCTCGCAATGTGAGGGAATTGCAGCACCAGTTGGTGAGCGCTTGGTACCAGATACCTCAGACTACCGTGTTCAGCACCTTGTGGAATCAATGCCACGGCGAGTACTAGCAGTTATGAGGGCTAAAGGTGGTCCTACATGTTATTAGCAGGGTGGTCATAATGTAATGGCTCTTCGGTGTTTGGACTTGGATATGTAGTTTGTCGAAGTACCTGCCCGCGAATGCGGGCACCTCACTTCTTCATCTATTTACTGGTCCTAGGGCAACTGAGACTAGTGGCTTTGGTTCAGGGAAAAGAGAATGAAGTTTATTAACATTGGTTAACTGTCTATGAGGTTAATTACCGGGAAAGTCCCAATAGTCATTGGCATACCTGCCAACTCTTCCGGATTTTCCTCCTTTTTTCCGGGTAAGTGCAAAATCTTCCGGATTTGTCCCGAGTTTTTGAAAAAATAATAAAATCTCGCCAAATTTAGCGCTTACGAGCCTTTTGCGGAGCGATGCTCTAAAATGTGCGCCGAAATTGTGTTGCGGGTTACCGTAGTAAGGAGAAACAACCTGTTCTTCGAAGAATTCGCCTACTCCGCTGAGGGTGTTACTGTGACGTCAGTTTATGAAGAAGCGAGCGCCTACTCAGAGGAGTCCGTTGAATATAGGGGAGGGAAGGAAGACGGAGGGCTCTGCGCATTGGCGCCGGTTACGGGAACCGTCAGTTGTGTCGCTGTTTACTTTCGTTAGTAGCACGCGGTATTGTTAGGCTTACCTAGTGTTTTCTTTTTTACGAAAATGAGCAAACGTTATCTACAATCATTTAAGGAATCATACTGTAGTGATTTTCCTGGAATTTCGCGATCTCGAGATGGCGATAAATACGCATTTTGTAGCGTTTACAGATGCAACTTTGATTTGTCATGGCGGAAAAAATGATATTAATGAGCACTTAAAATCCAAAAAGCATATTAAAAATGTTAAATGTGCATCTGAAAATTCCACAATAAGTAATTTTTTCGAAAAAACAAGTGCTGATGATGATGTAATTAGAGCGGAGTGTCTGTTCACCAGCTTTCTCATTGAGCATAATATACCACTGACAACTGCCGATCATGCCGGAGCATTGTTTAAAAAAATGTTTCCGAAGTCAGAAATAGCAAAAAAAATATTCATGCGGGTGAACAAAAACTGCTGCTATTGTAAGTGAGCTGTCTAAAAGTTTCAAAGAAGAAGTTGTTTGCAGTCTTCAGAAGTCTGTCTTTTCTCTGGCAATCGATGGAAGCAATGACAATATGGATTCTAAGTTTTATCCCATTGTTGTGACTTACAACGTTGCTGAATCATCAACAATTCAATCCAGGATTTTGTCCTTAGTGGAACTAAGTCTTGATTCGACTGGGAGAAACATATCCAACCTTATTTTGGATGAACTGGAGCATTTGAAGATACCCCTGACAAACTGCATAGCATTTGGGTCAGATAATGCTGCAGTAATATTAGGAAAGAAGAATGGTGTGATTTCTTTTCTCCAAGAAAAGCACGAAAATTTAGTTATAATGGGATGTTTGTGCCATTTAGTGAATTTGGCTGCAGAAAAAGCAGCTGCTACATTGCCCATTGATGTTGACCAAACTTTAGTGGATATATATTACTATCTAGAAAAAAATTGTAAGAGGAAGGCGAAATTGAAGTTGTTTTAAAGTCTTCACAGTGAAGAAGTGAGGAAGATTTTAAAGCACGTCTGCTCTCGATGGATGTCCTTGGGGAGATCTCTGTCCAGAGTAATAGATCAATGGGATGCACTATTGGCATATTTTCACGATGAAGTGAAGTCAAAGACTTTAACATCTTCATCTCTGGCTTTATTTAAAATCCCAAAAATGAGTGAAAAGGTGCTAAAGATAGAAAGGCACTTCTAATAAGAAGCTCAAAACAAATGAAGGAACCTCCAAAAATCTGAAAATGAACCAGTTTACTCCCAAAACTTCTGTCAGCAGAGAAGAAATTTTTTTTCATTTTTTATCTTCAGATTTAAACAAAGCTTATTGCTTATTTTTATTGAGTGTTATAACGGATTTTGAAAAGCTCAATACGACATTACAGTCATCTTCTCCATTGATACATATTTTAAACAATATGTTAACAGATTTCTTAAAGAACTTATTTCTGAAATTCGTTAAACCTGCTGTTATTAAAGGGCAAGCCCTTTTAGAAATCCAATATCATATTGAAGCTAATCAATTGTTGGATTCAGAACTGTTTGTTGACTTCAAAACGGTAGAACTAGTTAAAAAGTTGAATGAAAAAGAAAAAAGAAAATTTTATTTGTCAGTAAGGAATTATTATGCTACCTCGTGTGATTATATCATCAAAAAATTTCCCATTAATAACGATATCTTGATCAATGCTCAAGTTGCAGACTTAAAAAATATCGAAACCTCATCATTTGAAAAAGTAGCATATTTTGTTAAAAAGTTTCCTTGTCTTTTGATGATTAAAGAAGGA